GTTATTTGAGTGTTCCCTTTATTTTTTTGAGCAGTGTATATATAATTGAAGTTAAAACTTAAATCAGCTTTCTTTTAGATTTAATACAAATCAAAATAACCAAATGTAAAAATTATTAAATATTTAAATTGTACACTTGTAATGTTACCTTTGCCCACATTTACAATGCAAATAGCGTTACATTTTAGTTTTTCATTTTAGTATTTGAAAGTGGTTTTTCATTTCCCATCTTTTATCACTAGAGGGCGTTCGAGATTCACATATTGTATAAAAAATATTTGCATGAAAATTTGTTCTTTAAATTTTCACTTTATCTAATGAGATTTTGTTTTATTTTAAGATTTGTTTCCATTTAGCTGTTAAAGAAAAAAAAAGAAAATCAAGCTGTCGTTCACTTTTTCACGGTTTCATTTACTGAGCTGTAACAATGAACCCGTTTCAAAGCAAAATTTGAAACTCTTGTTCAGAGCAAAGTGAAAACGGCACCAATATGTTCAGCTAATTAGTGCTGGTAACTGAAAATAGTTTTTTTTTTTTTGTATGAAATGAATGTTGAAATAAAAGGCACAAAAAGCTGGTTAATTGTTTTTATTCCCTCTCAGACACAAACAGGTTCTGCGTGACAAAAATATGTCATTAAAACATCTACAAGAGGAAGATCAAACTGACCAAAATCATTCATGGAAAATTATACGCCGTACTTGAAAATAAGTCTCATATTTTTTCTATTTAATCCTGTACATATTGCTTCTCTCACGTCGGCTTATGTCATCATTGTGACAACAATCACACAGTATTGTCACAGAGCTGGAAATAGGAAGAAACTGCTTTCTTCATTGTCCTTTAACACAATGAGCTGGGATTATAATCAAGCATTTCAGCAGCATTTAAGATAATTAAACAGTAAAAGTTTTTTTTTTACTTGGAGGTCAGAAATTCCCAAAATAATGTAAAAAAAAAAATATCTCCATCTCCATCCAGGACCGGCTGTATGTGAATTAACCGTACGACTTCAAACAGCCTTTCAGCAAGCAGTGTCCAGCAGTCACATTGGCCTGCCGCTTGAAAGAAAAATGTGTTCATTTTAAATACAAAACAATAATTTATGCAATAGGCACACACACACACACACACACACACACACACACACACACAAAGAAAGAAGTCAGTTGGCATCCTTCAATGAAACTTTCAGATGCTTGTTACAGATGAAAAGCTGCAGTGTGATTTCATCTCTGATACAGATAAAGTGCAGCAGTTTTGTATAGCTGAAAATTCAAACTTCAAGTATTTTTCATTTTATTTTTTTTTTGAGTTGGCATTCCCTCGCTTTGCAGATTATGTCACGACCCAAAACAGAACCACATTTAAGCCAACAGGAATGACTTTTAGCACACATTTGCATGTCTTATTTCTTATTTGCCTCTTAGAATCAAACTCTAACAACATCCTCTCTTTTGTCTTACGTGCAAAATGCGATGCATAGCAGGAAATTAACACTGTGCTTCACCTTGAACACACCACAGCAGCAGCAACATGCTGTGGGGAGATAACAGGGAACGGAAGAGCAACAACAACAAAAAAATGCAACACTTTTGAAAGTTAAAAAGGTAAGAGGTCTTAAAACTAGTGCATTTATTATTTGCCCTGATGAAGAGGTGTGAAAATCCTTAAAATAAAGAAACTTTTTTAAGAGAAATCTCTAATGGCGCCCAAACCATCCTCTTAAGACGAATGATTTACAAAGCTAGTCTGGAACGTTCAATGAGTAATTGTGACTTCCTTGTATCTCCAGGGTATAAATATGAGATACAGAAGGGAAGACAGAATAACATGCAACTCAAGTAACATGCATGCATGTTGATCTGCAGGTCAGGAAAAGCGTGCAAGAAAATAAATCATAAATCATTCATTTAAAAAAAAAAAAAAAAAAAAAAAAAAAGAACCAGAACTGTGATAATCAAAACTGAGCCTCATTTTCTTTACCACGGTTACCAACAACAAATAAATACATAAATACGTGTGCAACTTCTAAACTGTAAACTTACTGAACAAAATGAAAAAAAAAAAAATAAATAATGACAGTGCATTGTTACATATTTCACACCTGGACCTTCGGTACAGCAGCTGAATTACAGTAAGAAATCTTCACATTTTCTGGTAGAACAAAACATAAAACGTAACAAACACCAAACATCTATAGAAATCAAAGCAAATTCTGGAGGTTGGCTCATACCAGACGGGATATTGTCTGCAGTAGATACTACTGTCGAGCCAACAGAGACGGAGTGATGATGACGATTCTACAGCTGTGGCGTTGTTCTGGTTAGATTAACGTAGATCCGCACATTTATTATTTGCTACAGTTTCTCAAAGCTCATGTAAAACTCGGGCGACGCCTTGGCCCAGATAAAAACATTCAATAAGGCAGGAAAATGTTTCCAAAAATAAAAAAAAACACACACAAAAAAAATAAATAATAAAATTATTGGTATACAGACACATTGCAAAACACACATCTCAAAATATGCTAAATATATAAGGGACTTCAAATTGTACAAACGACCTGGAAACTATCAAATGTGCGGTTTTTTTTATGTTTATAAGAATATAAGCTACACATCTATTAGATATACATCTCTAATCTCATCAGAGGCGATTTCATCCTGTTTGTTTCTTAATATCTGGAGTTACAAACAGGAATATAAGTTAACAAAAATAAAATACATCTCACTGTCCCTTCTTCAGAAAGAGTGCTTATTTATACGAGACATTCCGAGACTGGCAGCTGGGAACGGCTGATCTACGGTACCGGAGTCAGAGCATTAATGGGGTCTTCGCTTGTCAATTTCATGCGTTTTTAAAGTGCCGAAGCCAAGGCTCAGACCTCTCGCAGCTACCGGCGAGAATCGTACTCGTGCCGGTCGGGATGACGCGGCTCGCACTCTTCGGGGCCCTCCTCCTCACCGCGGGCGTACGTCAGCACCAGCGTGACGGTGGCGAAGGTGGCTGCGTTCACGGGGAAGGCTCGTATCACCGTGGAGGTGAGGCCTCGCGTGAACACCATGTAGCCCTCCTTCCTCACGCTCTGCCGCACGCAATCTGCGATGCTGCTGTACTGGTTGACTCCGCCCACCCCGTCCGCCTGCAACCGAGATTTGATCACATCTGCGGGATAGGTGACGATCCACGAGGCGATGCCGGCCATGCCGCCGGAAAACAGCAGTTTGGGGATCATGTAGCTGTCATTGGGCTCACAACCCAGGCTCTGCGTCAACACGGCGTAGGACCAGAAGTACACGCCGAAGCCAGGCGCTTCACGGACGAGCGTGGTGACCATTCCTCTGTTGATGCCCCGCAGGCCCTCTCGTCTGTAGATGTGCCACAAACAGTCCAGGGAGTTCTTGTACAGCTTCTTAGAAGACGACTTCTTCTGCCCGGTGCCCTGCATTTGCATACGGGTCTTAGCTAGCTCCATGGGGCAGCAGATGACGGACTGTAAGATTCCTGCGGCGGCACCGGCCAGAAACTGGTGTGTAGGGGTGTCCTCTCCAAGCATACGCATGGCGTTGCCCTGGACACCAAACACTATCGCATTGATGAATGTCAGGCCCATCATGGGAGAGCCAATGCCTTTATATAAACCAGCCACCTGCAGAAAACATCAGCAGTGACATCAGGGGCTAAACTTAAAGAACCAAATAATTCAATTTGCGAACACTCCCTATCCTGAACCAGTGAATTCAACTAATCTGAAAACGTCGACAGTATGGACATAAAACCTCTATAACACGTGTGGTTCTTATCATAGCCATGATTGCTTTTCAGTGTTTTTCATGAGAACTTGAGAAATAAAGTGAAATGAACTGACTTACCGACTCCTGTCTTATGATGGACTGGAAACAGTGAAACGTTCCACGATAAAGCGGCTTATCGACGCTCTGGACCTGCAGCCTGACCTGGATGAGAAGTTTTTTTTTTTACTTAAAAGTTAACAAAAGTACAAAATGCGATATTACGATGGATTTATTTAAAATGTAAAGAAATTAGGTTTATTGAGATGTTTTGTTTTTTGTTTTGTTTTTTTTCTGAAATATATGTAAGGAATATGCTGCACTTCTTACCTTCACTGTGTCAAACGGGTGTCCGACCAAGACTCCAACAACACCTGAGGACAACATGTCAAGCAATTAGCGATTTGAAGCATCTGATTCTTTCTGTCAGGACGAAATCCTGTAAGAGAGAAAAACACTAAAAAATGTTTTCACGTCGCCTTACTTTATATGTCAGATAATAATCAGATAAACTTTTTAGATGTTGACAGAGTGGACAAATTATGAAGAAGTTTAAACGGGTATGAATACTTTTGCAAACTATTGTTCATGTATAGATAAGAAGAAGACAGTGCTGGCCACCGATGGCCCTGACTTCACTCTCAGAGTTGATCTTTTGTAATATTTTTGGCCAGCTACTCATAAACTTTACAAGCTCTCTTTAGCCTAGTCAAACAATCTGTAAGAGGCAAAACATTTAGTGTGGTTTTATTTTTAGAGTAACACCTCGTCCTCCAGGAACAACATACTGGGCCCACTGCCAACTCACTGGCGTTCAATACTTTGTACATTTCTTTTGCATGGCTTCTAATGTTACTTAACACACCTGTACACCACATGAGGATGGCGTAACACAAGTTTGTGGGTGTTTTTTTTCTTCAATTTTCACATATATGAAATAAAAATTAATTTACTTTCCCTTTAAAAATATTGTAAGGCTAAATGAAAGGCTTGAAGCTACAGAAAACTGTACTCATACAGCATGTACTTTTATAAAGTACCATTAGTGACAAATTATATCAAACATGAATATGGAAAATATGAAACAAGAAGTAGTAGCTGTTTATACATCTATATAATGCCTTAAATTATTAGAATCAAATATTAAATACTCCAGTACACAATCTAAACTATGGTCTCCTAATTGTCATTTTTTTTGTGCATTATTTTCTGTTTACATGCACAACAACTCTTTGGCAGACTCACTCATGACTCACACTGTAAATAAACGCTAGTTAATCCTACATTATCACCCGTTTGTCACATGATGCATTTATAGAGGAAAGCCTGTCTCTACAGTAAACTGGGAACAGGACACACAAGTTTCTTTCATTTGGACACACTGATGAATGGATATTGACCTGAACTTGGTGAAGAGCTGAGAAAACAAGAGAAGGATGGTGCTTTGTATGTCACTTTAAGAAAAATGTCCACCGAGTGCATTTATCCAACAGTTTCATTTCATTTTTGACCATTAAAATAGCAAATAATTATCAATCCATGGATATAAAGCACTTCATGAGACAGATTGCAGTCATATAAAACAAAATGTACTCGATCCCGAAACTTTACTGTTAACTTAATGAATATAATCAGTGGTTTCAACCCGTTTTTCCATCAGGAGCAGCTGACAGCCTATAAGATGGATCCCAGCTGTAGTAACTTACCTCCTATGCATCCAGCCACGAAGTCCATCATCTTTATGCAGCTTGTTGAGGACGTTATTGTCTGTTGTTGCTAATGACATAAACTATCAAAAACCTTTAAATATAATGCTTTAATCAAACACTGACAACTATTCTGTTCGCCTTACTGTAATGATATCTGGATGTTTATTAAAGCTAATGAACCAACGTTAGCTGACACCGCCAGTTAGCCAACAGAACCGGCGAGCTGGTTAAGGATTCACTTTAATGGCTTACGGACGCAAAAATAGCTACGTTTTCTGATCTCTTATCCTCTGTTTCTTTCAGATAAAGCCCACTAGATGACATGTACGGCCTCTAAAAACAGCTGTGCTGCTGGTAGCCAATGCGAATCGTTTCAGTTACAGAGATTTTGTTACAGGAAGCGGTAACTACAGAGGGGCGGATCTTCTAACACGGGCTAAAGTTTCTGTCCAATCAGAGCGAAGAGAAAACGCCGACACCTCGCTCGAGGTGTATTACTTGTCATCTATTGGCTCTCACGTCTAAACTAAGGGACGTGGTCTAGTTATGTTCAATTTGGTTTGCGGTGACTAATAAATTTAGAACACTTGATTTATTTTACAAATCTCTAGCACGAATGACAAAGATTGTGAAACATTTATATGGAGAGAAAAATAAGGTTCATGGTGTTGTATCGTAGTAAGTTGTAATGTGAAAAAATGTTTCCGCACCGGTTGCTGTCACATCATTGCGCTTCTACATGGTGTTTTATGGAAACGTGCCACCATAAAGTACCTTATAGAATACCATATGGTGCATTCACATACGGAAGTATTATGAAATACTTCTAAGACTTTCTATTTCATAGACAGACTTAACCGAGACACTTATTCTTTCTGAAAATGTCAACAAATATGGCAATCATGTTTATGAGAGAAATATATCACGTTAATCAAAATGTCATTTTATTCAACTGAATTCAAAATGCCTGAACAAATGTATCCATATTTTAGGGCTGTGTTAAAATTTGTGGGCCTGGTGAGTTTGAATCATTTAAGAAAAACAATTTACAATCTGAAATGGTCAGTCACCTCAATTTAAATAGCAGTTTATTCGATTTTGGGGTTATTTCAATTTGGATATAAAATGTACGAGCTAACTTGAATGCACCATCAAAGCGTAACCGTAACATACCATTGAGTAGCGCAAATGGTTTAGAAACATCTTGACGCTAGATGGTAGCACAGATAGACAGAACCTATGGAAGCCCATTTCCGCCATGAAAGAAAAATAAAAGACCAACAGGAAGTCATAATTTCGACTTTCAAAGTCACAATTATGAGATTCAGTCATAATTTCGATTTTAAAAGTCATAATTATGAGCCATAATTATAAATTATGAGTCATAATTATGACAGGGGGAAGAGGTTTTTCATATAGTTTGGTTCGTTTGACACAGTGCAGCTGAAAATGTAACAAATGTTGCAGTTCTGGTCCCCAGTCGAACCTATCAGGTGTGAAAAAACCCAGTGTTGGTAAAAACATTGGTAAAGGATTAATAGAGAAGCAATGTTGTGATGACTTCCTGTAGGCGGAGTTTCAGATAGAGACAGAGGCCCAATTTTAAGCCACTGAATTACAAAGTAAAATTTATTTTGAGTCACACTTGATATGGAGAGTATTTTTATAACAGCTTTTGCTATTTTATTGCATAACGGCTCAATGGGGCCATTGTGATACACAATGGCAATACCAGGAAAATATATAATGCTAACCCTTTAGCCCTTGTGTTTAAAAATGGGGTCCAACCGACCCCACACCCATATCACTTGTATCAGCTGCCTCAGTCCTCGCACGCACAAGGGTTAAGGTGCCCCGGCTGAGGGTTAGACCTCTACAATTACACCCTGGAAGTGTACGTGTGCCGGTCGGGATGAGCCAGTTCAGTCTTTCGGGCCCTCCTCCTCACCGCGGGCGTACGTCAGCACCAGCGTGACGGTGGCGAAGGTGGCTGCGTTCACGGGGAAGGCTCGTATCACTGTGGAGGTGAGGCCTCGCGTGAACACCATGTGGCCCTCCTTCCTCACGCTGTGTCGTACGCAATCTGCGATGCCGCTGTACTGGTTGACTTCGCCCACCCCGTCCGCCTGCAGCCGAGATTTGATCACATCTACTGGATAGGTGACGATCCACGAGGCGATGCCGGCCATGCCGCCGGAAAACAGCAGTTTGGGGATCATGTAGCTGTCATTGGGCTCACAACCCAGGCTCTGCGTCAACACGGCGTAGGACCAGAAGTACACGCCGAAGCCAGGCGCTTCACGGACGAGCGTGGTGACCATTCCTCTGTTGATGCCCCGCAGGCCCTCTCGTCTGTAGATGTGCCACAAACAGTCCAGGGAGTTCTTGTACAGCTTCTTAGAAGACGACTTCTTCTGCCCGGTGCCCTGCATTTGCATACGGGTTTTAGCTAGCTCCATGGGGCAGCAGATGATGCACTGCATGGTACCTGCAGCAGCACCAGTGATAAACTGGTGTGTAGGGGTGTCCTCTCCAAGCAGACGCATGGCGTTGCCCTGGACACCAAACACTATCGCATTGATGAATGCCAGGCCCATCATGGGAGAGCCAATGCCTTTATATAAACCAGCCACCTGCAGAAAACATCAGCAGTGACATCAGGGGCTAAACTTGGATCTTATTTTCATCCATATTCTGTTCCTTGAACTTAAAGAGCCAGTGCAGTCAAGTCGAGAGAAGTTTCTTTGTACAGCACATCAGCAGCAAGTCAGTTCAATGTGATTCACATAATAAAAACTGAAAATTACCAAGTTGTAAAGAAGACACCATCAACGATTGAACAGAGATTATATTTTGATGTCTATGGCTAAATAATACCTCTCCGTGTTTGGTTCTTGTCCTGGTGATGCAGAACCAGAACCAGAACCAGAAGACCAGAGAGGTGTGGAAGGTTGATACAACAACACCAAAGTGAAGCCATTCAGTGATTTATAAACTGTCTATTAAAGTCTATTCTGTGATCTACGGGGAGCCGGTGTAGGGGCTGGTTTTAGTGAGAACACGAGCAGCAGCCTCCTGGATCAGCTGCAGCTTTCTGACTGATTTTTTACACTGATTATTGCAACTGATTACCACTGTTGCAGTAATCAAAGTGATTAAAGATGGACGCATGGATGAGTTTCTCTAGATCTCGCTGAGACATCAGTCCTCTAATCTGTTCTTCTGGCGATAGAAGGCAGACTTTGTAACTGTCTTTATGTGATTCTGACCAATGAATTCAGCTAATTTTGAGACTTTGATAACATGGATTTAAAAACTCTGAAACACTTGCATAAAAAAAGCAATCATAGCCATGATTAATTGTCAGCTTTTTTCTTTCTTTTCTTTTTTTTTTATGAGACGCTAAAGAACTTGACAAGTAAAGTGAACTGGATTGACTTACCGACTCCTGTCTTACGATGGACTGGAAACAGTGAAATGTTCCACGATAAAGCGGCTTATCGAACCTCTGGACCTGCAGCCTGACCTGGATGAGAAGATTTTTACTTTTACGTCCTAGCTGATCAAAATAAACATAAGTTAACAAACGTACAAAATCTGGTTAAGGAGCATGTCATAACCATTTTACTTTTGGTATCTAGATATTACAAAGGATTTGTTTTAAATGTGAAGGAATTAAGTTTATTGGGATATACATATATTTTTTTAAATGTATGTAAAGAATATGATGCACTTCTTACCTTTACTGTGTCAAATGGGTGTCCGACCAAGACTCCAGCAGCACCTGAGGACAACATGTCAAGCAATTAAAGGATTGGTAGATTCTGGTTCTAAAGCCATTTCTGTCAGGAAATGAGAAAAACACTAAAACCCTTTTATTTCCACATTGAAATTATGCATTACCTTACCACCGTATATCAAATAATATGAAATAAACTATTTAGTTGTTCACAGAGTGACAAAATATGACTCTATGCAAACCATCGTTCATGTATAGATCACTCTCAGAGCTCATCTTTTGAAATCTCAAAACATTTTTGCTCCACTTGCAGCGTGCCAGGCAGTGTGGCTTGTCAAACAGGATTTGTGGCTCGCACTGACTTGTGCCCGTGTTAAGACAAATAAAAAAACATATAAAAAATGTATTTGTGTGGCCACAACATCCCTCTATCCCCTTCTGCCTGCTTGGTAATCTAGAAGAACTGAACATGAACTCCAGACAAACCCAAACCCAACTGCATGTGGCCCCGACTACCACCAAGAAAACAATTCTGCTTAACTGGAAAAATAGAAAAAAAAAAAAAGAAAAATCAATAGCTAGATCTTCACACACAACAGTTATCAATGGAGCAACAACTAGCAATATATACAAATCAATTTGAATGTTTGAATATAGCATGCTCCATATTTCTTGATGCCATTTCATCACCGGTAAAATAAATAAGATTTTTTATTTTTTTTTTAAGTTATCCTTTATTTATTCTTTGTTCTGGCATATATTCTTATTTATTTTTCTATTTGTTTCCTTTCTTTTTCTCCCTCTCTTTTCCACTTCCTCCCAAAAATATCGGTGACTCTAACAGTTTAATCAATTAGAGGAGTGAAAAATATAACTCAAATTAGAAAACTGAAACAGTATTCCCTCATCCAGATGTTAATTTCATTTTTGCTGTGATACCAATTGATTATGTTCTCTTTTGTTTTTGTTTTGTATGTATTAATTTTAGTATATGTTTGCCTGTATTTTTGTTTGGTTGGTTATTTTATTATTTTTAATGCTGTTACTTGTTCTATTATCTGATTAACTATTTTGTACATCAGTGCCCCTTCTTGCTTTTTGTCACTTTGTAATGTTTGTTACATACACATACAATTGGTGAATTAAAAAATAAATAAATGTAATAGGTTTAGCTTCAAATCTACAGGGCCTAGTGGAGCCAAAAATACTAGAACAGGACTTTTATATTTTGAAGCAAATCGGTGAACCATACTGTAGCAGTATAGTTTTGTGTCTGTGACTGTTAATATTCACCAGTTTTGTTTTGTTTTTCTCACACAGGTATGCAGCTTTGTTTTGCACCATTTGGGGCAAAAATGCAAGTATAAGATTTTTTTTTTTTTTTTTAAAGTGTGACTCAAGACATACAATTTGTGCCATGTACTTAAGAATTTGAAATAGGCGTTTTTACCTTGCTCGTCCATCAGGAGCAGCTGACACCCCATAGGATGGATCCCAGCTGTAGTAACTTACCTCCTATGCATCCAGCCACAAAGTCCATTATCTTTCTGCAGCTTCTTGGTGTTATTGTTGTGATTGCTAATGGCAGAGACTACCAAAAGCCTTTAAATATAATGCTTTATCAAGCACTGACAATCATGCTGTTAATCTCTGTCCTGCTGGTAGTCCGTGTGAATCATTTAACTTTTTGCTACAGGAACTGGTAACTCCAGAGGGGCGGATCTGTTTGCAAGTTTCTCTCCAGTAAGAGAGAAGAGAAAACGCCGACACCTCGATCGAGGCGTATCACTTGTCATTTGTTGGCTCACGTGCGGTAAACTGAGGAATGTGGTTATAGAAATTAATCAGAATTAGCTTCTGTATACACATAAGAAGTTAAACATACTACAAATGTTTTCATTTGTTTATATGAGGACTTTTCACTCGTCTTTGTGCAAGGTTTTATTATAATATGGTTTCATGTGTATATGGAACCTAATTCAGTTTAAATAACTAATTTTTGAATGTGATCTGAAGTCTTTATTTGTACTACAGCACATTTCAAAGTTGTATTCTTCATTTCACCCTAGAAACACCGTTCAACTTTCAGTTTGCAGATTCTTCCATGCTCTGTTTAGAAGTGAAGACGATTTACAAATATCTTTTACGTTTTTTCCACAACTTGATCTATGGTCAAGTTATCTCTTCCATATAATCTAGTCCACACACCATCTCTCTCTCTCTATCTCTCACTCTCTCATCTGCGCTTTCACTTTGCTTGAGATATATCTGTGAATGGCGGGACAATCGAAAACAAGAGACGGCCCTGGTACGCATTTTGAACATTTTTCCAATACTTCTTACACTTCCTGAATGGACAGGTTATTTGTGTCAAAGTGGGTGGCTCAGAAAGATCAAATTCTTTGTGCCAATTGACAGATCGTCATTAATTACCATAGCGACAGAACGCTCTAACCAAGTCTTTCCAGCTTGGCAGGAAAACACAGCAGGGCCGGTGTCACGATTTGCGCCTGCTGTCTCTCGGAAAACACTGCCAAAAGGCAAGGTGGCAGAAGACCAAAGGAAGAAGGTTCCATGTGACTCGTGAGACTTGGATAGTCTAAACTGACGACTGGATTTTCAAAATAAGACCTACACATACAAAATAAAGGGCATAAGACATAGGCTCCCATGCTTGAGATAGCACACGCTCTAGTGGTAGCACCACATAACAGAAGGTCAACATGCTAGTGACAAACACACAGACTAATGGTAGCATTTAAGCTGATGTTGCCATTTTAGCTATTTTTTTTAATATAAATGTTAGCTTTACATACTAAATAAAGTAACTCAATATCAGTCAATGCGCCTGTGATAAGCCACATCCTATTAGCAGCATTTTAGCTCATTTTAGCTTATATGCTAATGTTTGCATACTGTGTAGCCTAAGTCACTGGTGAAATCAGAATTTCTTTATTGTCAAATTTTAAAAAAACATCAACTCTCCAAGGCGCTGCAAATAAATACATAAGTATTTATAAATGTAAAATATAGTGGAAACAAACCAACACAACCTCCTTGAGGATAAGAGTTTGAGGAGGTGGTGACCCAATGTGAAGGGTCCTGGTTATGCTGTGGGCTTTCTGGGGGCAGCAGGTCCCTTACATCTCCTCCAGAGATGGAGGAGGGCAGCCGGTCAGTCTCTTTGCAGTGTCGATGATCCTCTGGAGCTGCTTCGCCTCTGCCGCAGCGCCGCTGGAGAACCACAGTGAGAAGGGCTGAATACCGACTCCATAGAGTAAAGTCTACAAAATGCTATTTATTCCTTCTGACTATCAAGTTAATAAAATGAATTTTTTTTATTCAATTCAGTTGTTTAAATCGTTGCATCTGGCAGCAACAAAACAAACTGAATTCAAAATGCCTGAACAACTGTATCCACATTTCTAGGCATGTTTTGAAATTTACTGACCTGGTCAGATTTAATTTGTCCAGGTAAAAAAAAATAAAAACTATTTACATTTTGGTCAGTGATATCAATTTAAATAGAAGTTTATTTGATATTAAGTCAGGCGATTGGAGATTGGACTGTAAAACGTACGAGCTAACTTGAATGCACCATAGCGTTTAAAAAAAAAAAAAAAAAAAAAGTAACCGTAAAATACCGCGTAGAAGCGCAAATGGTTTCGGAAACATCTCGACGCTTGACGCGACACCAACACCGGCTGTCACGTAACAGCAAAGCAGTCAAGGTTACCGGTCGAGTTTCAGTGCACACATGGCTTGACCACTCGACAAGATGCATATAGTGGACTTTGTGTCCGGATCTGTTGCAGGTAACGGGTAAAACTAATCTCGCCACGCTGGTTTGTTAGCGTTTGGTGCTGTTGCTAAATGGCTAGCCGCTGTCAGTGTGTGATATAACGACATATGCAAAGATCAGATTAGTTATGACACGACGTCTTTTTTTTCTTTTTTTGTACAATTTCTTTTTTCGTGTTTCAGCTAGTTTTAAACCTGTGCAGGTTTGGCTTTGCTACCTAAAGGCAGACATAACAATGCAGACATAGTCAGTCAACATTTGGTTTCTGTTAAGCTGAATTAATAACAGCTTGATTCCAACCATACACGGATTATGTTCCTTTGCATGCTTATCTGTTTCGTATGATTGCGATGTTTGGCAAACTACAAATAAAAGCGAGACCTTGCTCATATATCTGTGTGCTGTCCTTGGTCCGAACCAACAGGGGCATGTGGAGTGACCGTGGGCTTCCCTCTGGACACTGTGAAGGTACAGTGAGGCTCAGATACGGTCTCTGATGGCACATGCATGGCTTCTAGATCACAGCTAATACATTTTCATGTTATTCTTAACTTTTTTAGGTCAGAATCCAAACTCAGAAACAGTTCACAGGCGTGTATCAGTGTGTACTGGAGACCATATCAAAAGAAGGGGTGAGTATATTATTTCCAGGACATTCTCACACAAATTGATTAGGTTGGCGTAAATCTAAGTAGAACCTGATAATGACATGGATTTGAAGGTTCTCTGTAGGCCGCTGTGAGATTTTCACTTTGAGTACAAAATATCGTTATTTTACCGTATAGCAATATTTACACAAAAATCCTACATAAATTCATTAGCAGCACAAATTATTTCTTTAAAACCGACAAGAAATAATTGTTGCTTAAGAAAAGAAGCGGCAATTATTTTCTTAATTGTAGATATTGACTATAACAGTTACATTTGAAGTTACACTTTAAGATCTTAGAGTTAAAACTAAAGCTGCAAATTTGGTAAAGTGAAAAAAAAAAAATCTAAATTGTTGAGGTGTTTTAATTGAACTACTTGCACAAGAACCTGCATATTTAAGGAACACTAGCAACTAAAACGAGACTATAATTACAAGGATTTTGTTTTTCAAGTTCAACATTAAATCCTGGAGACTCAAAGTTTTTATTTTGTAAATCCTTTTTGAAAAGCACACATCTGCACATCGTGTGTGCTTTAAGTAGGACGCCTCGTGGATTCTGTTTTATGAATCCACAAGGGACACATTGAAGAATGAAGAGTGTGCCATCTTTTTAGAACACTTACAGTGAAACGGTTGCAAAAACCATTTGACCAAAGTCGTGTGATTTTAAAATGCATTCCTACCAAAATACCAAAGACGTGCATGTCAACCTCTGAGCTTTAATCGTAAGCGGAGTAAATCGCTGCGACGCCGATGGAGCGAACTTGCAAAGCAGCGCAATCGTCGGAACAAACATAATGAAGTAATTTTTTATTTATTTTTTTTGTCTTTCTTTCCCCTCCGTTGTTCGCTCAGGTGCACGGCTTCTTCAAAGGCATGTCGTTTCCCCTGACCACGGTCTCGCTGACGTCCTCTGTGGTGTTTGGCACCTACAGGAACTGCCTGCAGTGCATGAAGCAGGCGAGGGGAGCTGAGTGGAGTCCAAGCACCAAACTGGAAATCTTCTTGGCTGGGATGGTGGGAGGTGTAGCTCAGGTAAAAGGAAAAACAAAAAAACCCAGGTTCACACCCCACCTTGTGTCTTATTAATCTTACTCGTAAACATTAGCCCTTACACAAACTGAACGACTTTAACTTCATTTGGGTGTTTTAAGCTTGTGCCTCCGATCTGTTTCCGACAGACGTCGGTCATGTCTCCAGGCGACATGGTGAAAGTGCGTCTGCAGTGTCAGACAGAGTCGGCGCGGGAAGGAGTCAACAAGCTCCGACCAAAGTACCGCGGCCCGGTTCACTGCCTGCTGAGCATCGTCAAGGAGGAGGGGCTCAGGGGGCTCTACAGAGGAGCTCTGCCGCTCATGCTGAGAGACGGCCCGTCGTACGCCACCTACTTTTTGACTTATGCGACCGTCTCTGAGTGGATGTCAGGCAGCAGCAATGAGAAATTACGTGAGTAAAAAAAGGGGGCAGCTTCTTCCAACCTTGTCAGGCTTTTCCAATCCGAGAATCCCATCCAAATGCGGGATGTAGGATGTGATGATGTTATTTTGTGTCCCTAAGACTGGAGCGGTGTGATGCTGGCTGGAGGAGTGGCAGGAATGGCGGGATGGTTTGTCGGAACGCCCATGGATGTGATAAAAGCCCGTCTGCAGATGGACGGCGTGCGAGGGCCGAAGCGGTACAGGGGCTTCTTCCACTGCGTCGCGGAGACGGCGAGAGGCGAGGGAGCTGCGGTTTTCTTCAAGAGCCTGGGCATCAACTGCCTGCGCGCATTCCCAGTGAACATGGTGGTGTTTTTCACGTACGAGGTTCTCACCGGTTTCCTCCGGACTGGACCGGAAGGCGTTGACTCGCCTCACGTAAGGCTGGAATAGGAAAATCTCCGTTTGACCCAGTGCTAAATATTTGGTTGCCCAGGAGCGACTGTCTCCACGATGATCACTAAAACTGTTACATATCATGCTTTCAAAAACATCAGTTTTGTGTTTTTGGGAAATTCCATCAGTCAAGCGTTACTGTATGTGACTCCGTCTGGCCACTAGATGGCATCCTTGACCTGATCCACAACTTGAGACATTTTTAACTTAATTCACAACCTTTAAGTGACTTGAATCAGCCGTCCTTGTTTGGATAGCATTGGACATTCGTCCCTAAACAGGCCACATGCTTCACTTTGCTTCCACTGCTTTTTTGCAAACAAAATGTTACAAGTGACTCAAACATATTGAAACTGGCTGTAACGAGTTGAACTACATAAAAAAAATAGGAGCGCAGATTCTGCTTTAACAGCAAATGTTTCCTCTTTTTTAAGCCCAGTAAAGAGGAAACCTGCCGACTAATCAATGGATTAAACTCGTGTATTAATATTTTCATTTTAATATCGGAGTAATGTATTATTTGGTGTAAGGGAACTGACTGTTACAAAGGCAGAGGCAAGCCAGGGTTCTTTAAATGCTGGAAATGTGTAACTTATTTATTTTTTATTACTACAATGAATGTTTATTATGTCTTGTGCAATAAAGCTCGACAATACTTTGCGGACCTCTTTGACAATGCATTGGAAGAATGCATTGAAGTTTTACACTTCGTTCAAGATGTCAACAAGCAGAAGTCTGAATATTTGGCTGGGAAACACTTAGTTTGTCTGCAGTTATGAATATCAAACATGTTGCGGTCAGAAGATAAAAGGAGAAGCAGCTGAGCCATGACAACGCACATTAGTAGCCATGATGGAAAGAAAACGACTGAAGTGCATTTTTCCAGAGTGCATGCTTTCATTTTATTCCACAGCATAACTGATACGTTTATGAAGGATTTTTACTCTGTTAATTGCACATCAAACTAGTGATCTCTATTCTTATGCCGCATGTCTAACAAGCCTTCCTCCGATCTCCAGATATGGATTAACTTGATCCGGCTTTTTGAATAACATAGTTCGTACAAACACTAATGAACAGCGCTACATCGGTTGTCTACTACTGTGGGGTTTTTTTTTTTAATTAATAATGCAACAATTTCTCACAGGTACTAACTCCAATTAATCCTTGGAAAAGACAATGGTTTCCTCACCTCACAATGGCTTTTTGAGGGTTTTTGTCTGCCTCAAAAAAAAAAAAAGTTGCACTCGCATTCAACGCTGGCATTCCACAGTGAGAGGTTGGTTGAGCTACTATCATTTCAAACCAGCCAGCCTAATAAATAAATACTTGTTTTACATCAGGTTTATGTTAAATATTTAGATTTGCAGCTGCAGCTCATCTCTCAGACTGAGCAGAGACGGGACGTCGACATGACGTCTTGCCACAAATTTCCAGTTTGATTTTGGTCTAGACTTTGAATACATGATCTAAACTGTCCCATCGCATCTCTTGGTCGTTGTCCTGGTGGAAGGTGACCCTACAACCCCAGTCTACAGTCTTTGGCAGCATCTGACACATTATCTCAGATAATCTCCTTTTTGTTTAGGTCCATCCATTCTGCCTTTTTCCCTGCACCTGCTGAAGAAAAGCCTCCCTATAACAAGATGCTGCTGCTGCCACCATGGTGTGTTCAGAGGGGCAACGTCGACTCTCTTCCGTAAAACACAGATTTAATCGCCGTCCTTTCAAACTTTTGTCCGACCTGAACAGTGGATCTCTGCAGCTCACTCAGAGTTACCACGGGCCTCTTAAGCTGCTGCTGCTTTGAATAAAGCTCTCCTTGCCTCTTCTCCAGGTTTAGGTGGACACCCAGCTCTTGGTGAGTTTGCATCTTTGCCATTTTACTCATGATGAGTTGAACAGGCCTCTGTGAGATGCTCTTCCCATTATCTCTGTACTTGGGCACAATTGTTTAAACAGATGAATGAATCACCTTCATCCAGATGAATGAATCTGGATGTTGCTCCCATCCAGACTCCAGTCTCTTCCTGATACTGTGACTGTTTGCTTTTGATTTTCTCATCCTGAAAGTCAAGAAAGTTTCCAGAGTCATGCCATCATTATCTTTGCTTCCCCTCATTGTTTAAAGAGAAAGCAGTCATTCTGTATGTAAACTTCCGATTATGATGTTGATACATAAATCCTATTATTATGCTTTTTTTATTATTATTATTTAATGTAGTAAGTAAACTTCTGACTTCAACTGTAAAAGTCTATGGTTATTTCGTGAGAAAGTGTAGCCAAATACTTTTTTGCAAGGGATTTTTAATCGGATCAGGAAAAGCCTGCAAAGATATGCCTATATCTGCAGTCAGACCAAAAGAGGTTTGAAACGACTGGACATGGAGCCATGTTAATTTTGCACAGTGAGGATGATGAAATTATGAGATAATGCTGCTGCAACGGGATGGGAATCTACTTTAACCCTCCTGTTGTGTTTTAAAGTTTAAAAATCTTTTACAAATAGTTGGAAGTATCTTTTTTTTTTTTTTGCATGAAACCTTTTCTATTTGTCTTAATAGGTGCACTGTACATATGAATTGAAAAATGATTCATTTTACACATTTGCAAACCTCCCCTGCGTCTACATTTTACATAGATACTGTTCGGGTCAATTTGACCCGGCAGTCAAGTTGAAGGGTAAAAACGATAAAAAAATGTCCAATTCTATATGTTTCCTTGCAGCTATGAGCCATATTTCACCACACACACACACACACACACACACAAGCCCACTTTCTCACTACTGTCTTTACTTCACTAGGAAACTGTGAGAAAACGGGTGTTTATGCAACTTTCGACAGGAACCTTTTCTGTTCCCGTGGGCAAACTCCACCCACACTGAGTGGACACTCAGCAGAAGTGTGTGTGTGTGGGGGGGGGACATAAATACTCTCTGCATGACTCATTTGTCTTGATTTTAATCAGCGGGTCAATTTGACCCAGAACAGTATACGTGTCTCAAGCTCAATTATAAAGATCACACCTTGGAGAAAAAAAAAAAAAAAATCTAAATGTGACATAAAAATTTTACGAAAGATCAATTTCAAGGAAATAATTGCTTTTTTGTTTGTAGGTGTTTTTTTTCAGTGGACATAAAAAATTTAAATTCCAGTTTTATGTCCAAATGGGTAAATTGTCGTCATTGATCCTTTATTTGTGAGAAATGAAAAAAAAACACACAAAAAAACATCATTGCACAAATATTAATTGAAATAGTTATTATTGGACTTATTGGACAAACATGTTTTGGAGGATTTTTTATTTATTTTTTTTTATGTTTCTGACACTACTGTGTGATTAAACACTTATTGCTGCACCTCACAAACGAACACAACAGGAGGGTTAAGGCTCCCTTACGTCTTAACCAAGAGAACAACACATGGCAGGGGGATGTCGAGCTGAGGTTTCAAGTTATCTTAGGACTTCACAGTTGGGAAAATATCACATCAGTTTCAGCTTTTCCCAAAACCATCTGTCATCTTTTCAAGTTTCTCCCAAACTGAGACGGAGAGACAAACAACCCTGTTATTTACTGAACTCACACACTGTAGCATGAGCAAACATCAATGGGAATCCTGGAAACATTTTTAAGAGCTGATTTAATGAAACCGCCATCACTCTGAGCGGCCCACAAACATTATTACTGCAACAAAAACTTCATCTGTCTTTTTTTTTTTTTTTTTTTCTTTCCTCCGAGAACCCGTGAGAACAGACGTCTCCTGAAATATGTGTTAAAGTGAGGATTTCATCTGTTTTACATCTGTAATTGGCTCATGGTTTATCCCACCCTGGGAGCACTAAAGATCTATTGTAAAGAAGTCAACTGTAACGATTTAATTGAACGACAGATTTACCAAATGGATGAGGTGGGGTCATGTCAGGAGAGAGCCCAGGAGTTTTAGCTCTGGGGTGTCTTTTTTTGGGTTAAATGCTGTTAAAAAAAAAAAAAAACAGAACAACAACAAAAAACAACAACAACAACAACAACATAGTGTCTTTTATGGTTTGATACTGTGCATATTCAAATTCCTTTTTGCACACGTAAAACTCATTAGCCCGAACTGTAAACACAACTTCAAGACGTAGCTCACAACGAAGGAAGATAATGGTTGCCATCAGTTAATTAGAAGTGACCTAACAGAGTAATTATAGGAGGTTATGTGTGGTTCACAGGCTTTCATGTGCAACGGGTTAATAGTTTGGCCATACATAAAGCGGATGTCTGCTGAGCTGCGCGCCTTTATTGCAGCTCCAAATCAGCGCTGGGATCCACAAACCAGGCTTCTCCACAATGGGAGACTCGCTGGGATTCTAGGAACAGCACTGCGTACAGTGGAACGGGAAAAACTCTTCAATGTTGTCTTTGTTAGCTGCTTTTAATTAAACCCTCCATGTCTTTTCTCGGGATCCAAAACAGCCCACAATTATACAAGCATCCAGAGATCTCATTCAATAAAGCTTCAGGCTCACTGCTTGTGAAATGACCAGAACTGAGAGAGACACCTCATTGCTGTTGTTGTTTTTTTTAATAGATTTCTGGTTGACTTCGATTCCAGGAAATCCGGGAATGAAAAAAAAAAAAAAAAAGTGATTCTAGACAGGCGACGCTCATGTGTTTAGATTTTATGGCTGTGACCTTTCTGATTACTGCCACGAGATTACCAGAATGTTTTATTTTATTTATTTTTTTTTAATAAGACTGTCTCTTGCTTGGGAATGAGAGATGAAATAAAATAAATAAATTTGGTCGATATGAAATGACAAATATGCAATAACTTTTGGACTATTTTTTTATAAGCATTTCTGGTTTCTCCTTGGGTTTAAAGAAATGATTCACAACCCAACACTGAGTTACGGGATGTAGATGTAGATTTTAACAATGAAGAAACGATGAAGGATCCAAAGGAGGAATATCTTTGTGTGCAAAATGTCATCTAAAAAAAAAAAAAAAAAAACAAATAGGATCAGTCATAGTTAATTGGCTCTTTGACAGATATTGAGAAACATCTAAACAAGCAGCTTTTGATTTTGGCAGGACAATCTTAAAAACCTTCACATCTTAACATCGTCTGAAGTTATGATGAGAGTTTTCTAAAAGAAAAAAAAAATTCAGTGTAGGTACCTTCACAACTCTAAAAGATTAGATATGAGGAGTTTAAACTATTTATGGGATGGTTCACTGACAGAAACAGAATTTCTCCTCCACCTTTTAATGCTAAAAGCAGTCGTGTCAGTCATTCTTGCAATATTTGTTTCCATTTTTTTAGTGAATACAGTTGCACATTTTATTTTTGCACATGCCTGTTTTTGTTACTTGCATAATTATCTAATATTTTGAGCTGCATCCTACTTTCGTGGTGTTAAATCTGCTCAGGTTTGTCCCAGATGACCATTTTGCTTTATTCTAATTGCCGTAAAGCATATATTATTAGGCCAAGGTTTTCATTTGCTCACGGTGCCAATAATTGAACAATCTGTGCATGTGGTAACTCGCAAAAAAAAAAGAAAAATGGAAAGACAACACATCTTTATCTAAATGTTACTTTTGAATAAAGGCTTTAATATGTCTTGCGGCTGCCTAGAGTGCGGTTGAAACACACAATGAATCAATTG